TTTTGGAGATGTAGACATTTTTTTTCAGATTTTAGAGGGGGGCGGCTGCCCATGCACGCCCCCCATGTAGGTCCGCCCTTGATAGGGATAAGATTCGTTTACAAACTTTTTTGCAAATTACACTATGTAGGACCGGTCGTACACTGCGTGATTAATGTAGGACCGGTCGTACTTAGTGTAGTTTGTAAACAAAAAAGTTTGTAAATATAACCTGCCCCATATATATATATATATATATATATATATATATATATATATATATATGAGAAAAATATTTCTCAAGTTGCTTGAGATATATTTATCTCCGGTCAGCCCAAAATTGCGTTGTTTTGTTTATTTATTTTCTTATATTTATTGATTCACTTTTGAATGGTTATGATTTCTTTTTCTCTTTCTTCCTTTATCATCATTGATCCATCTTTGTACGGTTATGATTTAGTGACCGAATATAAAGTTATCTTAAGAAACTTGAGAAACGATAAGCCCTATATATATATATATTTATATATATGAATATATAAATTTAATTATATTTTTCAGATCTAAAATGAGTTAAACAAAATTCACTAAATAAGCTCAAAAATTATCCAATCACACTTTTACAAGTTCATGAAGCACAAATAAATGAAAATGCACCCTATTACTATGTCAATTTAAATTGTAACTCAGAATCCCGATAAGCATACCTCTCGATGACATTGAACTCATATTTTTCAAATTTATCTACATTGAAATGACATATGTCACATTCTCTTAATTCATTGAAGCTGAAAATTTAGGTTATTGTAGAAGAGTATACTAGCAAATAAAATTATAAAAAGTTTTTAAAATGAGTTATACATCTTTTTCTAACAAGATGAAACAATTTTGCTTTTTTTATTTTTAATAAAAATGCATGACCTGACCGAGTCTCCGATTTTACCCGGTTTGGCTAGGTCCGATGCATGACTGATTTAATGCTTGACCCGAACCGATCCGATGGGTTCGCCGAGTTCTGGGTCGACCCGGGTTTCACAACAGAGGGTAAAAGTGATGTGATTCATAGGTCTTACCGTGTTAGGTTAGAATCAAGCATTTTCAAACCCGTTTGGATAGATATTTTTTTAGCCAAAAGTAATTTTTTTCTTCAGAAAAAAAAAAACACTTTTACTAAAAACTCCGTTTGAATGTATGCTTAAACAAAAATTAGAAGTCAGAAAAAAGTCAATAATTTACTCTTTTTTGGAAGCTAAATTTTTTGAATTTGGATCCTCTCATATGAAAAAGTGATATTATAATCATATTATTTGTTCACAATCACACCTTTAAAAATTATATCATTCCCTCTTCAATGTGACGGAATGATTGAACATCACCTAAAGGCTATAGGCCAATAGATCAATTAACTCAGCTTTTGATGTGATGATTATAAATGAAACCATAGTGAGCAGGGCCGCGTTTTAAATGAATAACTGTAATGTTTACTCGAGCTTAAATTCGGACAGCATGTGGGCTCTCAAGTCAGCCCACCAACCCTTTATTTCATATTTTTTTTGAATTATGATATTTTTCAGTTGGGAAAAGTTCAATTATCCTAATGTGATTTGTCTTTGAATCACTTATCACTCTACTTTTTTATTTTATTTATCCTCTATATTTTTTCCCATCCAAGTCCTTTATAATTAATATGATTATTCACCCTTTTCATAAAAATACATTTGAGCTACCTTGTGTCATCTTCTTTCCCAAGCTTTGCAAGAGTTTTTTACCATACAAATTTTTTTCAGTTTCAAATATGAATTCCCTTTATATTCTCTATTTTTTCATGGATGCGACAAGCTTATTTTACACCACTTTGTTACTTTCTCATTTGTCAATGAGGCAACAAGCTAGAATATCATCACAATACACATTCTTTAAGACCTAAAATAAAGTACGATTTATTATTCTGATCTCCACTCAAATCCCGATAAGAAGCTAATAATAAATCTCATTAACAAGTGGGGGTGTTCGCGGTCTGGATTGAATCAATTTTGGAAGCAAAAATCATCTGATCCAATTCTTTCGGTTTGGATTTTTTTTCAAATCCGATCCAATCCAATCCAATTTTTTTCGGTTTGGATTGGATCGGTTTTCTGAAGATTCTAAAATTTATTTCATGATTATTGTGCAAATAACATCTTTGTATATATTGGCTTTGTAAATTTATTTATTTTTAAATACAAAAGTATCAATAAACGATAATATAATTTATTTATTTTTGGACAATGAGATATGGAGCTCTACATAGATGAAATTTTGTTGATGAGATGTGACTAAGTTTTTTCTTGGATTTAGTTGATGGGTTAATGGGTCTTGGGTTTAGAAATTTTTGGGCTATGATTGGAGAAAGACCCAAGTAGGTAGAGGAAATTTAATATATTGGATTGGATCGGTTTTCATCTACCAATCCGAAAATCGATCCAATCTAATTAAAATTCGCGGATTTTTTTTTCGGTTTTCGATTTTTCGATTTTCAGTTTATTCGGTTTTCGATTTTTCGATTCGGTTACCGCAGTTTGAATCGATTTGGATCGATTAATGAACACCCCTATTAGCAAGCATATTTCAAAAGGAATCTAGTGCTTCAGGCATATTATCAAACAAGTTAAAAGCAATTAAACATGTTTACCAAAGAAAGAAGAAGCAATTAAACAAGCATTGCAAAATCAAATTAAAGTAACAATTGGTCTCATCATCTCATTTAAAAGTTTAACAGGTGGGTCCTTTCCATTGTAAGCATTGAAAGGCACAACTACTACAATTGCATACTCACATTCATCCTAATGCTCAAGAAGTAAACTAGAATTATAACTTGAAATTTTGCATTACAAGCAATAGGAGAGGGGAGAACCGTACATAGAAAGAGAGAGGGAAAGGAAATTTATGTTTCATAATTTAAATTTTAGAGAAGGATATACTTATCACAAAAAAATTTACCACATTTACAACCAACTTAATCACCGTTGATTTCTGTTAATCTAATGGTTATAATTTATTGAAAATTATTAGATCGCATTTATTAATTAATTATTAATTCTCAATAAATTAGAACCGTTAGATTGACGGAAATCAATGGTTATTAGGTTGGTTGTAAATGTGATAAATTTTTTTGGTGGTAAGTATATTCTGCCCCATAAATTTTTTAAAAAGCTATTTGGTTAAAATTTGGCTTGAGGCTCTTTTTGTAAAATTTATTTTTAATAAAAGTCACTTTGGTTAAAATCTCATTGAAATTATTTTTCATGTTCCTGTCACCAATCATGTGGCACTTCACAATTGTTTTTTAGAAATTGGATAATGAAAGAAAATTTGGTTGTATTGTTAGAAACCCTTGCAAAGCTTGAGGAACAAGATGAGATAAAGGGTAGAATAGATAGATTTATCAAATTTTTAACAGTGTTAAGTAAGGACTTGGATAGAAAAAATCACAGGAATGTAAATGACTAAAAAAGAGAGAGAGGATTATATTTACAAACTTTTTACTTACAAACTCTTACAAACTACACTATGTACTTCTAGGAGTACATAATGTAATTTCTAAAAAAAATTTGTAAATAAATAATACCTAAAAAAAAAAACCATAAGAGGCTAAGTGATTCAAAGAAAAACCATAGGGGTATTTTAACCTTTTCCTTTTAGTTTTTAATTATTTAGAGTTTTGTATCTTATTTGAACATTTTAGCCGTTGAAATCATTTGAGCTTGGAAAAGTTTTTTTTTTTTTAGGTAGAAAAGTTTTACTTTCACTTATTATGCAGGTGTTTTAGTTTTGAAAAAGGAGATGAATTTTTTTCCTAGAAAAAAAGAATAGCAAGTTAATAGGTTAGTCCATTAGTTAACAATTCACAATAATAGATCGGGCTCATAGGTCCTAGTTTAAACAGACTTGCAGCCCGTTTGGATTGGTATATTAAAAAAAGCTTTTTTTTATGCCTTGCTTATTTTAGAAATATTTTTTATAAAAATTAAAACTGTTTAGATTTTAAAAAAATTGTTTAATTTTTTAAAAAATATTTGACTTTTGACTTCTGCTTTTTTTAGAAGGTAAAATGTTTGAATTTGGATCTTTTTATGTGGAAAAATAGTCATGTGATCATGTTATTTGATTACAACTATTTATTTAAAAATCATATATTTTTTTCTCTCTTATCTCATAATTAATGAGTGATTATGATTAAATAACATGATCACATGATAGAATCTAAATCCGTAAAATATTGGAATTGCAATGGATGTCAATCAACATAATTGCAAAAGTCAACCAACGAGAATCAGTTCAACTGCTAGGATCGATTACTGTTAAATAAGATGCTGAGTTCTATTCCTATCCAATGTCTTTCTTTTTCTTTTTTCTATTTTTAGTACAGTCCAATGTCTTTCTTTGATAAACTTATATTGGGAAAAAAAGAATGAAATTGCATGTTTGATTCCCATATTTATTTAGATACATGCTCACAAAGGACCCACCGAATATCGCTGGTCAAAGTCACGCGTGCTTACAATGGGCCAAGCGAAAATATTATAATACCTTGTTATCAAAATATATATATATATATATATATATATATATATATATATATATATATATATATATATATATATATATAATACCTATACAGATCTTACTTTCCATATTTCAAAGTCAAAGGCTTGTGAAAAAGGCTACCATAAAAAAAAAGTTCAATTGTCACGGGTTCAGTTAATTTATTGAGATATTTGATAGCAAATATTTTGGTAAGGGGGTCAATATCCTCAGACGGTACATTATTATTATTATTTTTTTCTTTACCCTTTTTTCTTGAGCTCCTTAATAAGAATTTTATAAACACATTGGGACTTTCCTTACCTTGGTAAGATCTAGTACAAAAAATTAAAAGGCAAGGCCACACAAATTAAAAGCCATATAACACAGGAAAGGAAACACATACCAGCTGTTTACAAGTAATGACTTCTGACCAAAATCTAAAAATCAAAATAGAAGGACAAGGCTTTCAAACTAGAATTTTTATCACATTTCTAACCCTCCTTCAATGTACCAGCACACTGTGCTGCGACTTGCAAATTGCAAAGCTCTAGGCCACTATACTACCCCCGTACTTGATTAGTACTTATCCTATCCCTGACGATATTGTACATTCTTCCACACCGCTTACTAGTTCCCTAAGCTTTTTGTTCTATTTTCGGATATCAGTTACAAACTTCCAATTGTCAATATTTCATTTCGTTTCATAGTCACAGTATCAACCTACTGTTGTAGATCAAATCTTTTGCTCCCTTGTTGGCCACTGTTAACAATATGCATCGAACCACCTTCTTCTTTCTTTGTTGGCTTGGGCTTCCGCGGTATGCATTTTGAACGCACAACGTCTCCTTCATGCTCGATGATTTGCAATCGGGAACCGCTGTAAGGAGCAGGAGACCATAGACAGAACCCAAACTTTAGACTAAATCACATTATTGAGAAAGCAATTTATGTCACTGTCATAATCATAAAAATGACAATAAATAATATCATCTAATTATATCTTGTCAGATAATTAAAACAATTTGAGATGCCAAATTGCCAGTGCATGATTGATTAAATGATGGTATAAACAGAAATCAAAACAAAACGGATTTGGATCCTCTCGTGAAAAAGTGGTCATGTTATTTAATGACAACTACTTATGGATGATGACATAAGAGAAAGAAAAATATATGATTTTTAAAAAGTGATTGTGATCAAATAACATGATCACATAACCACTCTTCTAAGTGAGAAAATCCAACATATCTTGTATTGTCGTACTCATTGTCCCAACCGAAATTATCTATCTCTCTGTCTCTTTCTATGCACCTCATTTCCCACTGATTTCGTACTACTAGTATATTATAGGTGGCAAACAGGCAAGTTAATTTATGAAAACCAATGATCAACTCTTTGGATGCTTTGAATTGGACCCCATATTCAGCAGCTAACATATAGTAAATGGGGCCAAAATAAAAAGACAGATATCAATAATTGCCTAACAAACTAAAGTTAAGAAGCATTTAATATATTCACCATACATACAGGGAACAAATGGTACAGACAGGCACACAACTGCCAAGTATCAGCATCTAATTTTACGCTGCGAAACCAATGATAGGTAGCTGCTAGCTTCCCCTTTGTGTAAATTGAACAAATCTCACACTCAATTGAAGAGAAACTCATATAAAAACAACAAATAACAATCGAGCCAATATTCTAAAAAAGTTTAAGCATGTATTGGGCTACATAAGCTTTCACTTCCAGCCCGATATAAGAAGGGGGAAAGGAGGTTACATTATGAACAAGCAGAATGGACAACATCCGGAGACAAGGGAAGTGATAACCCTACCTCTTGTGACAATAATAGATAAGATAGATAAAAAATTGAAGCCTAGAGATAGAAATGTAGTTTAAATCTGAGATTTTCTTACAATAACTTATAATGTTCTAAATTACGACCATCTCTCTCTAAATCTGAATGTGTCTACTTAAAAACCCCCCAAAGAAAACTAGGAGTAATGACACCTGTTGGGGTCGATTAAAAATTACACTATATCCGGAGATTATATTTTTATAAGAATCGAAACAATATTAATAACATTTTTTATATGTCTTCAATCTCAAGATGCTTCCTATGTCCTAGAAGCATTAACTCTTAACCACTATTTTTTATAGAACTTATGGAGCTGAAACTGTATGAATGTCAATGTCTACAGTTTCCAACGTTGCAAAAATTAGAAGGCACAAACACACAGACAAGGATCGGCATCGCAAACTTTATTTCACACAGGTAAATGTAAGAATAAACTAGAAAGTATTAAATAAGAAATAAGATGCTTATTATATTGAAATCACATACACTAGTATTTAATTTTTAGTTTTTAAAATAATCAGATCTTTTAATTCACTAAACGTGTTTAGTAAATGAGATTTGAATACATATAACGTACCTATCTGCATTGTAGGAAGATGACCTCTTAAAGGCAGGGGCTTCCGTTTTTTTGGTTTCGATCAAGCTCCCACTAAAATACTCCTTATCTTCCAATCTCACCCTGCTCAAATCCGGAATTTCCATCGATGTCCCTACTTCCTTTCCCTCATGATTCCCTGCACCGCGGGGCAACCTAGACTTGTAGTGCCCAACCAACGAGAACCCTTGATCTTTGACCGAGTTGGCCTCACTCTCTTTGAAAGAAACCGCACCGCACGATAACAATTGCAAGAGAACCGACGAAGCTCTCATCCTTCCACTAGGATAGCTATCAGCCATCAGATCATTCTCCTTCGCGGGTTCTGAAGACCGCAATCCCAACCGTCCATCTGCCTTCATCAGCGTCTCGAGTGTCTCCGGGCTCGAATCGGACGGTGGAGGCGAGATCTCATCCCTACTTAGTTCCGTACTGTGATTATTATGACAAGTCACGTGCGCGACCCTCTCTCCCTCCATTTCGACTTCTTCAATTCCATTCTTCTCTTCTTCATCCCTCATCGCCGTCCTCCTCCGCCTCCGGTAATCGTCAGTCTGAGTCGACGCGTCGGCGGCGATTTTCCCGGCCGAGTCACCCAACGATTCGGACTTGTAAACTCGGTACTCGTTCAGGTCAATGGAGCTCCACGACTGGTTACGCCGCCTCGTGATCACCGCCGGAAAATCAGATTCGTCCTCCGGTTTGTGAGTCTCCGACGGCCTCGGGGTGATGGTAGCGTGATCGAGAATCTCAGATCCTTTGAGAATGTAGTCTTGACCTTGCGTTGGGTAGATGAAATCGTTCTCCGACAAATCGTGCCAAACAAAGCCCTTCTTGTAGCTCCTGAGTCACCACCAGCAGCACCATCAATAAAAATAATAATAAAAAATAAAAAACGAATTTAAATTTGAGCGTTGTGCGAAACGTTACCGTTTGGCAGACCAAGAGTACATGTTGGCCATGCCATTCCCTCGTAGCAGGTTCAAGCGATTGATTACGTCTGAAACAGAGTGTTATCAAATAATAAGGTTTTCAATTTTATTTATTTTATTTATTTTTTTTCTGTTTGTTTTGAGAAGAGAGAGTAAGTTACCTTTGAGGTAGAGTCCATGAGGTGAGGAAAGAGGGACCTCGATGAAATGAGGGTGCTCGAGCTGGCCATTACGGGAGAGGTAGTAAACGACAGAGACTTTTCTGGGCGTTTTGGGCTTGGGCTCTGTCCAAACTTTGGTTCTCTCGGGACTGGTTTCTCTGTCTGTCCATTTATTCGGGATTTGAAGCTCCGTTACTCTTCTCCTGGAACTGGAAGTCACCGACATTTTTTTGTTTCTTTTGTTTTCTCTGGATGGTGAAGAACACAGAGTAAGCAACTGCCTATGTAAGAAAAAATTGGAAAATAGGGAGCGTAGAGAGACTGAAAGCGATGAACCGAAGCGGCGGGAAAATAGAGAAACTAAAGTTGAGCGCACAAAGATAGAGACAGAGAGAAGAGGGGTTGGTGTTGACTTGTAATTTGAAGAGGGATTTTTAAGGTTTAAGAAGAGGAGGATATGGTAGTGTCATGAGTGAGTGTGACTGTGAAATTCAAAAAATAAAAAAGAATAAATAAAAATTGTGGGGGGAGAGAGAGAGAGAGAGAGGGAGAGAGAGAGAAATTCAAAATGTGGATGCGGAGGACAACAGCTAGAAAACAAGGAAGGGCTGTTTGGGTTTCAGAACTGGCAGTCCTCTGAGTGTGACAGTAGAATCCTCTTTAGTTTATTACTTAGCCAGAAGAAGCAGAAAAAAAACAAGCAGAACGTCGTCGTAACGGCTTTGTTTGTTCTTGCTCTTGCCAATCAAGTTTTTACTACTCTTGATGAATGGCGGCAATTCCAAATTGCATTTCGAGATTATGGCAGACTGGCAGTAACTCCCGGATTCCCTCTCACCTGTAGTACTAGCTATGAACATAGAAAACAATGAATACCAAGTAATTTTTCTTAATGACAATGTAGCCTTTTGTTCCATGCTGGTTGTCGTCTTACCAAGCTCTAGCCAAATAAATTTACACAATATATATATATATATATTTGACAGTTAATACAGCAGAAACATACGAAAATTTATATAATTTCATATTTTTATCTGAAAATTTAGAATTGGGAGTTGAGTGTGTATATATATGTGTGTAATGATTGTATTTTGACAAATTAATTCACACACACACATATATATCTGTGAGCTTAAACAACATAATTTTATATCATTTTAAGTGAAATTTTAGTATTTTTTTTATTTTCTTTCTCCTCCACAATAGTATCACTTTCCCTCTTCTCTTAATTTTGTATTGGAAAGAAAATATAAAAAAATTGCTAAATATGCACCAAAACATAATAGTTTTACTTTTTATTAACATCAGTAGTTTTACTTCAATTGATACAAACTTGTGTGTTTTTTTTTTAAAATATCAATAAATTACAATGTTAGGAACTCTTAATATAATTTCTTGCAATTTAATTACAATGTCAATAATTTATATAATTTTTTATTTGTTTGAGTTTAGCTTCTTATTTTTTATTTTTTGTCCTTTTTTTTAATTATATTTGAAAAATAATTTTTATAATTGATTGCGAAAAAATTGAGTATTACTCATATATCATTCAGTCTATTTTATTATTTAGTATATAACTTTTAAATTCTTAAAAAATTGAAAAATAAATAAACAAGTATTAAACATAGTTAAAATGTTTTTAATCATTTTTTAGGGAAGCAAATTAAAAGTTATTAATTTATTTTAAAAATAGAATAAAACTACATATTTTATTACATAATCAAATTACAAGTTTTACTTATTTATAATTGCTTTCTTCTCCTTTTGTATGAACATTCAACTACCTATCTTAGAAAATTTCAAATCATTTTCAGCTGGGTTGACCGCTCAGACTTGTACACGGTCTACACCTAACTTTGACTATATTGCATTGAATTGATTGCGTTATGACATGACGGTTCTGTCCCGGCATATTTAAAAGTTAACTTTAAACCTTGAAGCCCGGCAAATTTATGAACTTAACATTTCATATTTATTTGCGAGTAAAAATACCTTTACTATCCTCGCGCTTCAGTGCTTAGGAAATAAAAAGGTTATTTTTAATTCTTACAAAATTTAAAGTGAACTTATTTTAATTATTTTGAGGGATTAATATGGATCTTTTTTAAATTTGTAAGGGACCATAATTTTAACTAAATGAGTCCATTTTGAATTTTTTAAAAATCACGGATAGTCTTTTTATTTGCTAGAAACTAAAGCGAAAATCGTAAATTTTACGGAAAACCAAAAAAAGATATTTACACATTATTTAACCATGGAACTCAGTGGTGGGTCCCTATCCAAATGGCATTAATTTGTGGGATGCAATCGTTGACCATGCCCGATGCCTCCTAAAAAGAACATATCAAATCTGGGGCATTTCATAATTCATTAGTCTAATCAAAATAATGGTCTTTGTAATTTGTAAATGGATCATTGATGCTAACGTGAATGGCATGGCAAGTTCACTTGTTTATGAGCAATGGCGTCGATGACGATGGACGGTGTCAAACTAAGGGACCCCACTGAAGCATATGCATGGATCAGTGAGTACAAATGTGCAATGTCTCGTTCATTTCCGACGAGGACGCTACTGTGAGACTTATAATAAAATAGAATAATTTTGGAAACTAGTGAGGTGTGTTTACATTGGAAATGGTCGGTTTGTCCAAGTTTTCGGCACAACTGTCCAAGGGTTGGATCTAAAATGGTATGAACAAAGTCATGGAAGGGCACATGCATTTGCCAATGGCCCCAATCTGATATTATGAGGCTTCGCAATCCTCGCACACACCTCTCAAGTCCTATGTTCCCACCTGTTGCCTCAAGTTCATCAATAACCATGCCAATTTACTTACTCATTGATAAATTTTATAATGTCACAAGTTATACATGTATATTATAAAGGCAAAATGATTTATGTAGCTGCTGTACCTACAGCAAACAAGGATCCCCTGAAATTTTTTTTTTTTAAAAAAGTCGTGGGGCCCACTTTTTTGTGTCAGCTGTAGATAACACTATCTACGGCAGCTGCAGAAATGTTAAGCCCTATTATAAATTACTCATAACTCACATTGTTAAAATAATAAATAAATGATTAGTATATGTCAATCATGTAAATTATTGGACTTACTCCTTGGTAAAAAACTCAATCTCCATTCTTTTGAGAATCAATCTCCACCGTTTGCTCTACTCTCCCTTCAAGATGCATTCATGCTTTAGGCTAATCGATGAGAAAACTCTCTTACATATTATCATTAAGTGAAATGAATCTTCTCATGTTAAATTTTACATGATCTAGTCATGTAAAATTTTTGTAACTATCTCTTTTTTTTATTAATGATAATAAACCACACCTATTAATGATAATTGATAATTTTTTTTTCATAATCATGTCAGATACACACTTTACACTCTATTCTCTCTTAGGTGTGCACAAGGAAGCACGGACACTTGTAAAAATAGGAAGAGTCGGGTCCGACACGCTCTGACACAGCGACACGCTCCGACACGGTGTCGGACACGCGATTGACTTTTTTCGACACGTTAACCATTCCGACACGCGAATTTGACCGTGTCCGACACGGTCAAATGACATTTTCGTAATTTTTTTTTTTTTTTAATTATTTTTTAATTTTTTTTGAAAAAATTTATTTTTTTAAAAGTTAAAATATATTAATAAAGCTTCCACCTGATCATATCAATTTTATCTTTTTGTCTTTTTTCCCCTTATGTAGATAAGAGATCTTCTCAGCATCATTGTTGTCAATTCCTATCACGCTCTTGTTGTATCTTCTTCTCTCTGATCTCTCTCTAATATGATTTGATCTCTCTATCTGATATTATATATCTCTCTCATCCCAGTTCTTATTTTTTTTATTAAAGTTTCCATCTTTATAACGTGTTGATGAGTATTATTAATTTAGTTTCATTTTTTTGTTAAATTATTAAATATTAAATGAAATATACACTATATAAATTAAAAATATTATTTAATATTAAAACGTGTCCCAACGTGTCGAAATCCATAATTTTTTAGGATTGACGTGTCGGAATGTCGTGTCATGTCGTGTCACGTGTCGCGTGTCGTATCGGTGCTACATAGGGTGTGCACACCCCCACATTCTCATAATGTTGTTCGTGTCTTATGCACAGTGATTTGTGATCCTATGTGATATCTTCCTCATAGATATCAGCCAGCGTATTGATCCTTTTCAAACTTACCAATATCCATACTTGATCCACTTAGTACTCTGTCAAAGCAAAGAAGTTAGTGCGGAACGCGGCTTGGTATTTTGTCGTCGAAGGTCAGCTATGCTGAAAAGGATTTTACTACCCAATGTGAATTTTTAATACTAGCTACTACTCACCAAAAAAATTTGACCGATTCAATTTCGCAGAATGTGTTGGCATGCCACTTGACCTTGAGTCCTTAAAACATGTTACTGTAGGTAATAAATCAAACAAATTAAAGAAGTCGAATGGAATCAGCTAGCGCCAATACCTAAGAAATAATCATTTACCATTCAATTTCCACAGAGAGCAAAACTAAATGAAATTCCCAATTTTCTTCTCTATTTTTTTGTCAATAATCACCACTCTTTCTTATACCCCTCTGTTTCTGTTTCTTTTTTTCTTTTTTTATATTAAAAATAAATTCAATTGAACAATGTAGAGTGTATTTTTCTTCTTCTGAGAACACAAGTCTTGGAGCATGTTCCTATGTTATTGGAAGTTCACGAAATCGAATATGTTAACAATATCTTTAAAAAAAAAATACAAATGTACAAGTGCATATCATCAACTTGTTGAGTTTTTCTCTTTCACTAAAGAGCTAGTGTGTAAGAAGAGTTCAAGAAACCTATAACTCATTCAGTTTAGGGTTATGATTTCTTAGAACCAATATATATTCTATACTTATAGTTATCAGCTTCTAAAGTTTTTACCTGGTGATTGCAGAGGCTGGTAAGATCATCTCCTTGATAGTGAGAGACTGTCCACACATCAGCCTCATTCCTCCTTGAGAGATAGTCTGGAAGATCTACCATTAGTCACACTCAAGGAGTTTGTTTGTGCACAGAAGAACAATTCGTGAGGAGGAATCAAATACAATAAGATACTGCACAGATCTACGCAACAAAAGATAAATATAAAATGATCCGTCGTATTCCAAATCAGAATGGTCTAAGCCTTCGCGCAGATCCAATAATTCCTTCACAACCTTCAACACTTCCAAGACTTAAAAAT